AGTAAACAGAATAATACAAATATGCTTTGATTAACTGCATAAATAAAAGTTTATAAAACCAACAAGTCAAATCAAGCAATCTGATTGGTTCTTAGCCGTGATATAATGAGCGTATATCACGGGTAGAATTGTAGTTACTTTTCACAAGTCAGTATCCCTCCACGTCTGAGAAAAGTTACTACCGTTACAACTGTTACATTACGTCCGTTAGGAAACTAACTAACTAGCCAAGCTTTTTTTTGCGTTTCCACTTGGGGTGGTTCCGGCTCAGGGCTTTTTCAAATTTTTTCTGGCCCTCCAAATCGAGGTTCTTACCGGGCCATCAACCGGGCTTAGTATGCTAAACTAATGACGTAAACACACTCGACTGCTGATTGGTCAGAGAGAATCGCTGGCAAGGGGGCTACAAACACAACAAAATGAACATATTTGATCGTGATTTAATTGTAATACACTTTTCAACATGATGCCGAAGTAACAACATACTGATACCGGTTAGTAAAAACCATGAATTAATGCTTGGACAAGTCAGTCTGCAGACAGACGGCAGGCGAAACACCTTTTAAAATGCTTGTTTTCTGAATGGAGATCGGCTAAGCTAACGTTATATATGCTCCGAGCGTCCACACTCACAACAACGGCCTATACAGACATAAATAAACCAGCGACTGTATTCATCATGACACAGACAGTCTGTGGTTTGTACTTGTTTAACTTTTGTCTAGTTTCTGAACAGATATGAGGAGCTGTGAGCTCTGAGTGCCAACAGCTAACGGCTGATGTTTTGGTTTTGTGGTTCGCATTGAAGATGACGTCACGGCAGTTTTACGCAGCGTTTTGTGTTTAGCTGGACAAGTTTATTTTTTATTTAACAGGGACAGTGCACATTAATTTACATTCTGGTAAATGTGCCAGAGTTAGCCAAGAGGCTATTTTTCATCTGTAGTCCCTGGACAGATTTAAATTAAATATGTATCTCTTTCCCCAACAGTGTTCCTCACAGGAAGTGACCGCATACCCATTCTGGGCATGAAGAGTCTGAAGCTGGTGATCCAGCCCACAGGTGGAGGAGAGCAGTACCTACCTGTGGCACACACCTGCTTCAACCTGCTGGACCTACCCAAGTACAGGAGTCTGGCAAACCTCCGTGATAAACTTCTCCAGGCTATAGATCACAATCAAGGCTTTAATCTCGCTTGATGGCACACAGAAATGCCTCGAACTTCATGTCCAGACTGCAACCACATTCCCAAATGTTTTGTTTCGCAGTCTGAGTTCTGCTGTAAGAAATTGAACACTGGGTGGAAAGAGGAGGAGGCCACATGGAAATAGGAGTAATTAAGAGTTGGATGTCTAGACTATCACAGGTAATCTTGACTTTCATTCTCCAGCTATCTTTTTCTCATTGCATTACAGTATTTTATGCTCTTATTACAAGTCGATTCACATTTTATATTGATCTTGTAGATATAATTTCATTCATGTTTGGATATGGCAAGTGGGATGAAGCAAACTACTGGCATGGACTACAGGGAATGCATACAGCAACAAAAAAACCTGTAAAATATAATAAAATGCAGTAGTCGCAAAAGAAAGTAACATTTTAAGCTCCACTGTGGTAGTAGTTGCTGCATGACTACTGCAGTGATTCATATAGTATTTTACAGGAGACGCTGATGTTGTGTACACCCCCTGTGCAGTAGGACAATGTACACTAACTCTTTATGTTTGACTTAAGTTCTAATGTGACAATTGTTTGAGAGTGCAAGGCTTTTGCTTTAGATCCTCAGTGGATTTGATTGGCTGTCAGCCTTAAACAATCCACACATAATAGTACAGCCACTGAAATAAATGTAAGTTACTTTGGGGATAAAATGCTGTCCTGTTGTTCAAGGCTTTTTTAATCATCTGGATCATTTGATAATTTCAACTTATTTTTGGCCTTTTGGTATTATTGCTGAAAGTTAATTAATCAATTAAATTCAAGCATTTTCCACAATTCATTGTATGACATGTTATTGAGTTTAATACCACTGAAATTAGCAGTTTGGCTCTAATTTGCTGTTTGCCACAGCATGAGTGATGTTGATTTGCTCCCTTATTAAAAAAACTAAAAAAAGATTCCTATCAAGAAAATTGAGTTCAGTTCATTTTAATGATAATTTATGCGCACACATTGCAATATATGGCCATAAAGGAGGCAAATACGGACATCTGTGTTGTCCTGTTTGTACAGAGCTTGTCATTTTAGTTTCAGTGGGGCAGTTCATGGTGGACCAGCTGGTAGTGGGAACCACAGGAAGGACAGCGCTGGGCGTCTCCCTCGTGAAGCCAGAACCACACGATAGCAGTGTTGTCTTCCTCACCTGCAGAGGATTATATTTGGATTACCCTGGTTTTTAATTCATACAGATCATTGTACTTTGCTTTAAAGGGCAAACTATGACTGAACAAAGAATCCCAAAAATGTAGAAGATTGGTCAGAACTGCAAAACTTCATCACAAAAAAAAAACCTCACACAACTTGTGCAGTATAATCCAAATTGGCCCACCCAGTCGCATTCTCACTAATTACTAAATTGATATAAAAATGAAAATGTTGGAGGTGTTTCTTTAATATACATCACTTACAAACGCAGCCCACCATCCTCTGGTTTCCAATGCTTGGCACAATGTGAGGGTCCGCTTTGGTACCAGCATACTCCTTGGGCTTCAGCATACTGTAGGGATCCTGTATGTGTATTCATATGCGGTAAGTACATGTAAGGTTCAAGCACAGTATTCAAGTTGTTTGTACAGTAGCCTACCTTCCCCTGTTTAAGGGCCTGCAGGGCACGCCGCTCCAATCCAGTGGCCTGTTCCTCATCTGTCGGTATTCCTAAATGCCAACATGAAATTGCTTTGTTAGTTAATACATTGTATTTAACTCCAATTTGTTTTTAATGGGAAGTAAATGCATGTAAAAATGTTGGTTGTGCTGTGTGCACATTACAGTCAGGCGGCCAGTGTAGTTGAGTGCAAGTGAAACTGCACGTCTGCAAAGGAAGCCACCCACTCCACCCTGCTGCTGTCCCATATCAGGAAACTGGCATTAAACCAAAAATACGCCTGCCAGAGGAGGTGGGTCTATCAAAGGCCTTCCACGAGTTTATGTCCAGATGACCTTCATGTTATTTATTCAAACGTTATAAAGTTACATTAAGGCGGAAGCTAGTGATGTTTCGGTGCTACATAACCGCCCCACATGACATAAATGCACCACAAACAGAGAATTTATTACTGCGTATTAATATTGTCAAAATGAAATCTTATTTATCCTCTCAATAACAAAAACAACAGCGTAGCGAGCTAATATCGCACTGCAGATGTCGCATTTTATATAGCTTTTAGGCTATTAACTGCGCAATAAACAAAAAATAACTTTAATACAGACAAGACAAGCTCCTTCTTCATGACCACTGACAGGGAGTTTTACCGTACCCCATGTGCCTGACTTGCGGTTTAAAGTCTTATTTTCTCGGTGATAAACAGACGTACCTTTCAATGAGGACATGGCACGGTGGATCGGTCTAGCCACCACATTGCTCCTCAGCCTTAATGTTGTTTGTGTACAGGCTCGAAGAAGAAGACGTCCCGCCATTCTGGTCACACTCTCAGGTATCCAGACTGATCTGAGACTGCTCTGCGCTGGACTGAAATGACCCCGACAACCTTCTGAGTGACAGGTGCGCGGACCAATGAGAGCAGCAACGTGGCCGTTCTAACCAATCAAATACGCACAAAAACAACATGTAGCGTTAATGTCGCTCAAAACTGATAGTGATTATACAAATAACATAGGCTAATGAGCCTCTCTATTAAAATTGCCTCTGATATTTGCACAAATTAAAAGTACGCTAATTTTTGAAAATGTTCTGCCTCTCGACATTTTCTTTGTGAAGGATAGGCTACTTTCAATTTCCTGACACCCCTTTTTTTCACAATCAGGAAATATCACTGCGTTCAAAGTAATGCTTGTTTAGCGAAAGTTATGTATAACGAATTTTTGACGGATCATATTATAAAGTCAACATGTAAAACATTGATCTTCAGAGTAATGTGTGGCAAAGTGGTCACATAGATATATTTATGTAAAGTTACAATATTTGCCTTGAAGAGATTAATAGAGGTAGTCGAGCAATTTCACTTTCTATCACTGTAAAAAATACACCATGAAAAGACAGAGCTGCACTGTGATGCTGTGTATATCTGTTACACGATCACAATATCTTTTTTTATTTCAGTTGAATGAGAAGACAGAAGATTATGGAAACGTTAAAAATAAATCAACTGGGGATTGATGCTCCTTGCTGCTCCAGGAGGAGGCGCTGCAAGACAAACACACAGAAGTGGTTTGTGAAGGTTTCCATGGCCCTTTCTCATTTCTCTAACTCCCCTCCTCGACTCCTATCCTCGAGACTTAGTCCCGCCCACAGGAGATGCGAGCGGAGGAGCCGAGCAGGGGAGTCGAGGAGAGAGGAGGGGAAGCAGCAGGCGGTTAGAGAAATGAGAACTCCTCTCCTCTGAGCGGTCATTTTAAAGAGACGTCCATTAATGATGACAGGAGGCACAGCATCACTCTGTCTGATAGACAGATGTGTTCATGACGACTTATATCTACTTTTAATTCATTCACAGTGCGGTATAATGCGACAATAACAGGTTACAGATGCGGACATATATGAGGTGTGATTTGTGACAAAGAACTAACTCACTGAGCTCACTAACGTGTCGATCGTCGCCTACCATGCCGTGAACTATGCTGCGAGAGAAGTAACGTGACACTCGTCGCCACCCCTCTCGTCTGAGAAGCTACGTGACGTCTGCGTCTGAAGTTACTTTATGTTGGTAGTTATCACCAAATAACCCAGTAATGTTACAGCTACGCAGTTGCTGTTCAAGCGAGACTCTATTTCAATATAGTTTTGGTATTAAAATAATGTTACACCCCTTGTATGCCCTGAGCGCAAAAACAACCACAGACAAGAATATATTTTTTTAATTATCAAAATGATAACAGAGGCTGAAAAAACAGGAGAAGCCTGTCTTCCCTTGGTCTCCAGGAGAAAACTGTATATCACCAAGTTTTCATAGTTTTGTGTGTGTAAAATAGATCGCTGCAGTGAACACGACTTTATGTATTTGTTTATGGTTTATTTGATATGGAGGGATGCAAGAAGTTCAGAGAAGAAGCAACCCCTAGATATTGTTTATTTCATTTCATTTTGGCACCATGGTAGAGGCAAATATAGAGTTAATTTGCGGAGATTGTAATGTC